AAATAAAGCAAATGACTGCTTAAGTCGGTTTCAGTACGGACAATGAGCCTTCTATTCTCACTGAAACACAGGCTCAGTCTAAGTAGCGTGATCTATTGTCGACTTGGCAAGTCATTTCTGGATGGAGGTTCAGATCTGTGCCGCCTGTCTATGATCTTCTTTAAAAAATAAATCTAATTCACTAGTTCACTGAAATTAGTGTCATATAAAACCAGAGACATCTGGAAGCCGGAAACATCAGACTACAAACAACAAAAAAAGCTATATGAGCTTAAAAAGCATAACATTTTCATAGAAGCCCTTAAGAGCAAAAGGAAAAGGAGCTTACAGAAAAAAAAATAAGAGAGCAATAAGTTCTTCATTTACAAAATATAAAAAATACAATGCCAGAAAATAATATAAACAATTAACTTTTTTGTGGATTCTTACAAAATATTATATATTCATCAATGTGAAACAAACCAAGTTCAGTCAATTTTCAAAACCAATGACTAATGTGCACAATCAGTATTAGTCAATGTAAGTCAGTAAAATATGTATCTGAAAAAACAGAAAATAAACATCAGACACTGCTTATGATATACACATTAATTCAAAATCCATAGTTTTGCATCATTTATCACAAAATAAAAGTTAGTGTAACTGCAGATTTTTTTTCTCAAAAAGAAATAAGCTCCTCAGCTACACTTTTCTCATGTTAGTGCTAAGAGAATAAACCTTACGAGTGCTTTACTGATTCCCATGTAATGCCACATCTTATGAAACCCCATCCAACACTCCAACACATTACCTCATTTAGCCAAAGGGCTTTGTTGAGGATAAACAGTTTCATTTGCACCCAAGAGCTGCCCAGGAATTCCCTAGCAATTTGCTCTTTGTGGTGTTGGAGTAAATTGCAGAAAAACGTGTGTATAAAGTATACACTTGGCATTAGCGAGTATGCAGTTTCTAATGAGGAGTATTTGTGTTTGATGGAGGCTTTCAGTGTGTATATCTTGAGCCATTTTAAAATGTGTCCCTCGATGTGTGTGCATCTCAAAAGATGTGGAACGGAATAAAGTCTGTCCCTGGAGAGTGTCTCTAAGGAGGCCGCTGCTAATTGTCTGACAACTGCAGCATGTTGCTCCTATTAATTCCCCAACAAGCGTTTAAAAGTGTTTAACCCTTCTGCTGCGCTGACTACAAAAGGTGAAGGTCTCTGAAGAACTCAGTTTGACCAAAAATGATGGTTATGATTTAAAACATTGCATGGAAATAATTAAAACAGCAGGAACGGTTTGTCCAAAAATGAATCACCCTCAAGCCATCCAAGATACAGGTTTGTTACTTCATTGGAATTGATATGGAGAAATGTAGCATAACATCATTTGCTCACCAATGGATCCTCTGCAGTGAATGGGTGCCGTCAGAATGAGAGTCCAAACAGCTGATAAAAACATCACAATAATCCACAAATAATCCACACCACTCCAGTCATCTGATTAATGTCTTAAGTGAAAAGCAGCAAGTTTGTAAGAATCAAATCAAGACGTTTTTAACCTCAAACATTCAGACTAGACAAGTTTTTCACTTGAGAAAGCAACATTACGGATAGAGGACTCGTACATTAGCATGGTTTACAGTTATTACAAACAAGCAACATTATGATGCCATCTTATGTTCATGTTCTAAAGTTAAAGTCAGGTTGTGTATAAAGCTGTTCCACTCAAACACTTCACTTAGGCTTGATTGTCTTAATTGCATCTGTGTTACTGCAGTTTCCTATCTGTTTCTCAAGTACTTACTCACTTCCAGACAATAAAGAAGTCCTACAGATAAGGCCAAGCCACACTAAACGCAAGTGTCACTTTTAGCCACCTCTAATGTGTTATCAGACCTCAGACAGACACGCTGAATGGCCAATATGCCAAACTATAAAGTCCATTACAATAAAAGACGGGTCTATTTCTGGCAACAGCCACAAAATTAACTTGGTATTGCGAGTCCATCTATTCCACTGCATCCAGTAATTAATGTATTAACAAAAACAAATGTCTGTAGAGCCTCACATCAATGCCACTAAAAATGTTTAAGATAAATGTAAAAATCTAATTAAACCCTTAATTGTACAAGTTGTTATGTTTTAGAATTAAATTAAAATATAATTCAATACAGCAAAAAATAAACATGCATCTTTACCGACATGTCATATGAACTTTAAGTACTTAAATTATTCCTGCTTCAAGTTACACATGACAGCAAGTTATGACTTACATTCAGAATATAAAAATATTACAGACATATATACACATGTATATACTCTCAAGTTGAAAAGGGTTATACACTGAACAGATAAGGGGGGTAAGCTTGTGATGCTTGTGTAATATTTGTGAAATGCACAAATGTCCAGCTTTGTACATGTCCATTGGTCGTATACTTTAATCAAAACACTAATATTTAAAAAAACATGAATAAACAAAAATGGACATCCTTGAACAAGTATGATAAATTAAGCTTCAAAGAGTGAGCTTGCATTTGCGCACACCAGATAAACTGTAAAATGTAGAAAGAAGTTGACCTATTCTTGCAGTCTACAACCAACGGTTTTCAAAGCCATGGTAATTTTTATAGAACAGTATTTACAGACCGGCGTGCGATGACTGGTTGTAAAAACCAGGAAGTACTGTGAATAAAGAGGACCTAACAAAGAGGCCTACCTCGACTAAATAAGTTACATGAAAAGCATTTGAGGCAAACAACATAAAGCCCTGAATGCTCTCGAACAACCTAAATGCAAAACTGAATCATTATAAAAGTAGTACCGTTAGGGGGAAAAGTACATTTTCAACACCATTTCCAAGCTCGTAAGGTAAATAACTGGGATGCGCTTCATTAATATCTCTCCAGAACAGCTGTTTGGATTAAACAAACACAGATATTATTACAGGCTTCTGCCAATAATAAAAGTAAAACCTAAACAGATCTAGAATGAACTCATGAAGTGATATATGAATATATCATGAATGATATTTCTGCACTAATTTCCCCATGCATCTCCAAGCGGAGATGAAGAAAGAGACACTATAGAGTATAAGCTCATCTACTGTACCAGATAAACTGAACAGAAAAACAAACAGTGTTAACCGTTGGCATTCTGAGGTTTATGAAAATGGTAATGAGACTCATGAACAAAAGACTGATCTACGTCAATTGTAAATAAATGCAATGTGGGACACTAAATCCACACCTCATTCTTGATCATGGTAATCAGAAACCCTCCCAATGACAACAGCAAATTTTCATATTCTAAATAATTCACATTATGTCACCCTTAAGTTATTGTAATTACTGCTAAGAACTGACCTTCCTTGAGCCCTGGAACACAACCCGTAAAAAAAGAACTGTAAAACATGTGAGATTATCATCACATAATATGCCAGTGGAAACAGTAAGAGCTTTCGTGACATACATAACCCGAAACAAACAGACCTGTATTTCCTCATAAGCCTCGTCAACGGTGGTGACTTGGTGCTGTTCGTGTAAGGCAGGCTCATCACAGAAGAAGCACACCAAGCTCTTGTCACTTAAGCAGAAGAGCTTGACCTTTTCATGGTCCTTGCACGGGTACGAGTTCCTCTGGGCGTTCAGGATGGCGTCCAGAGGGAAAGCGGCATACCTCTCCACAATGTTGGAGAGCTTCAGGCTCGGGGACAGAAGGGGATCCGTGAAGGTCCTCCTGCACTCCGGGCAGTCTCTCGCCCCGTGATGCTCCTGTCTGCTCCAGTGCTCAGTGATGCACTTACGGCAGAAGTAGTGCTCGCAGCCGAAACTGACAGGGTCTTGATAAATGCTCAGACAAATGGAACACAAGAGCTCGTCCTTCAGACAGCAAGCCATTTGAATCTACGGAGGGGTCGGTCATGCACTGTGCAGGTAGCAGGACGCACGAACCCTGAGTCTCTCAATCAGCTGGGCTCTTTGAGGCTTGAAAATGTTCCTTGACTGATTCCTGAAAAAGAGCGTAAGTAAGACAGACACTGTAAAGATGGTTCTGCAACAGGCATACTTTGATAAGTTTGATATTAGACTCTCGGATTATCAGGTATAAAGACTTTAGACATGGACTTTGTCCTAAATTATCATGAATTGATGAGCAAATGCAGATAAATCTGATTGAAAGAAGACAAGAAAATGTCGATACTCCTTAATTAAAAAGAGAAAGGTCTGAAATCTGATTACTTACTGGACTCATTCTGCAAGATTAAATAGTACCTTATCGAGCCCATTAAAAGTTGACCTATTCTTGCAGTCTACAACCAACGGTTTTCAAAGCCATGGTAATTTTTATAGAACAGTATTTACAGACCGGCGTGCGATGACTGGTTGTAAAAACCAGGAAGTACTGTGAATAAAGAGGACCTAACAAAGAGGCCTACCTCGACTAAATAAGTTACATGAAAAGCATTTGAGGCAAACAACATAAAGCCCTGAATGCTCTCGAACAACCTAAATGCAAAACTGAATCATTATAAAAGTAGTACCGTTAGGGGGAAAAGTACATTTTCAACACCATTTCCAAGCTCGTAAGGTAAATAACTGGGATGCGCTTCATTAATATCTCTCCAGAACAGCTGTTTGGATTAAACAAACACAGATATTATTACAGGCTTCTGCCAATAATAAAAGTAAAACCTAAACAGATCTAGAATGAACTCATGAAGTGATATATGAATATATCATGAATGATATTTCTGCACTAATTTCCCCATGCATCTCCAAGCGGAGATGAAGAAAGAGACACTATAGAGTATAAGCTCATCTACTGTACCAGATAAACTGAACAGAAAAACAAACAGTGTTAACCGTTGGCATTCTGAGGTTTATGAAAATGGTAATGAGACTCATGAACAAAAGACTGATCTACGTCAATTGTAAATAAATGCAATGTGGGACACTAAATCCACACCTCATTCTTGATCATGGTAATCAGAAACCCTCCCAATGACAACAGCAAATTTTCATATTCTAAATAATTCACATTATGTCACCCTTAAGTTATTGTAATTACTGCTAAGAACTGACCTTCCTTGAGCCCTGGAACACAACCCGTAAAAAAAGAACTGTAAAACATGTGAGATTATCATCACATAATATGCCAGTGGAAACAGTAAGAGCTTTCGTGACATACATAACCCGAAACAAACAGACCTGTATTTCCTCATAAGCCTCGTCAACGGTGGTGACTTGGTGCTGTTCGTGTAAGGCAGGCTCATCACAGAAGAAGCACACCAAGCTCTTGTCACTTAAGCAGAAGAGCTTGACCTTTTCATGGTCCTTGCACGGGTACGAGTTCCTCTGGGCGTTCAGGATGGCGTCCAGAGGGAAAGCGGCATACCTCTCCACAATGTTGGAGAGCTTCAGGCTCGGGGACAGAAGGGGATCCGTGAAGGTCCTCCTGCACTCCGGGCAGTCTCTCGCCCCGTGATGCTCCTGTCTGCTCCAGTGCTCAGTGATGCACTTACGGCAGAAGTAGTGCTCGCAGCCGAAACTGACAGGGTCTTGATAAATGCTCAGACAAATGGAACACAAGAGCTCGTCCTTCAGACAGCAAGCCATTTGAATCTACGGAGGGGTCGGTCATGCACTGTGCAGGTAGCAGGACGCACGAACCCTGAGTCTCTCAATCAGCTGGGCTCTTTGAGGCTTGAAAATGTTCCTCGACTGATTCCTGAAAAAGAGCGTAAGTAAGACAGACACTGTAAAGATGGTTCTGCAACAGGCATACTTTGATAAGTTTGATATTAGACTCTCGGATTATCAGGTATAAAGACTTTAGACATGGACTTTGTCCTAAATTATCATGAATTGATGAGCAAATGCAGATAAATCTGATTGAAAGAGAAAAAAATTATGATACTCCTTAATTAAAGGAGACTCGCCTGAAAATCTGATTATTTACTGAACTCATGATTCTGCAGGATTCAATAGGATCTTATCAAGCCCATTAAAAATAATTACATTTTCATTTAAGAATGTTAAAGGATATGCCCTGTCTAATTAAAGACATTCATTTCTAAAATAATTTTATACCGATGTCATGCAGTCACAACCGACTCAACTATCAATCAAATGAATCAAATTATCAATCAAATTAAAAGAATCTAATGAATCTTGTATGGAGACCCAACCTTGCTTTGAGTGAATGAATGAATGAATGAATGAATGAATGAACGATTAAATGTCTTTATACAAATAATGTTTAAATAATCTATTTTGCAATACCTTTTCCTATTTACTATTTTTATTTATATTTTATATTTATATTTTCCTATTATTATTATTATTATATGTATTTGTTTATTTTATGTTTAATTTTTATTTATTTTATCATAGGTTTGGGCATCCATAATCGTGTAAAAACATTTAAAAAAGAACTTAATGCATTTAAAAATCAGAAATCATTCAACATTATATTCTCTCGCTACTTACTAATTAAAAACATTATAAAATCGTTCAATTTATACACGCTGCCACTCAGTCACAATAGACATCCACTGAATTCAATAAAACAAATCTAAATTTTGAATTGCTAATGAAACACCTTGACTCTCTAAATTAAGTTATAAATACTGTCACCATAGGCTTCCACTTAAGTTAACTGGATCTTAGTCCATTTAAATCAGCGGTTTACACAGAAGGCTCCTGTACACCATGGCAATTGCAGAAAAGTTATAAATATCATTGCTTTGTTTTAAAAAACAGCTTTTCAAATCATTTCTCTTCCCTTTTTCCATTGTTTTCTTTTGACTGTTTATCCAAGCCGGCTGCTAAATAATTAGCCAGCTAGCAGGATGTGTAAACAGATTTCCTATCTATTTGGTCCTCTCCGAAAACGGACATTCTCACTTCTTTCACTTACCCTAAGTGGTCCAGACGCGTTGTACAGTGGAAACAGCCGACTGTCACATAATTGAAAGAGCAGGTCGTGGTTTTAATGAAACATTTTCATCAGGTCAGATTGCTCAAAGCTGGAGAGCCACCGCACGCGCAGCTCCTCTCAATCGCACTGCTCTACTCTCGATCCAGAGGCGCACAGCAACGGAGCGAACCAACTCTACAGGGGACACACACACAAACAGATGGCAAGATAAGACAGCCCTCTCGGGACTTTGATTCGTGCTGTAAAGGAATTAAGTAAAGTACACACCTTTCATTTGCGTTTGTCATCTGGGCTGGATTCGTGAAAGATATAAGACATTTTTACACGGGTGAAGGTGAACCCCTCCCGCTGCTGTGATGGTACAGCCCTGGCTGCCTCATCATGGGCAGAAATGAGCATATGATAATATCAGAGTGATTGCTCGCACTCTGCTGGCGTGTGTTTGTAGGTCGACGCGAAATTTGATTTTATACAGTGAGTTCAGTATTACTAGTAAATTGTTTAAATGAAAGAAAACATCTAAAAATGATTATAACATTTAAAGTATTACTTTTAACATAATTATCACAGCATGTTTTCAGTTAGTTTATGGTGTTCTTAATCTGCAATGCATATTGTCAGCTTTTGTTCAGGTGTATAGGCTTCAATGGAATTATATTATAAATATTATATTAATAAATTATATAATACACACACACACACACACACTAACTGTATATTATTATAGTTATTATATTATTATAGTTAATAATAATTATTAACTATATAACTATAAATATAAAATATTTTTAATATTTACTTTTTTTTCATTTTTAATTGGTTTATTAAATAGTATAATATGTATTTTAAAATAATAAATAATTATTAATAAAGAAAATAATAATTAACTATGAACTAAATTAAATTACTCAAAATTAAATCATTAATTAAATGTTGAAATATGTAAATAAGTTGTTAAATGCATAATTGTATCATTAAATACATAAGTAAATGCATAAATGAATGAATGAATCAAATAATATATATATATATATATATATTATTATTTTTAAAAGGTGTTTTTCTAACTTTCATATTCTTCCTACTTATGAAGGCCGCAGGTCAGCAGAACAAATTTTGCTCAAAACCATCTGGTGCATCACTGGTCAGCTGCATGACTGAATTACTGTCCTTATTACTGTCAAAGTGCTTTCAAAAAAATGCATTGCTTTGCTCATGCACCCACATTTCCCGACACCGCCTCACGTCTCACTTTAGAAGCTGACCTTTGACCACCAAACCTTTTGCTGAGTTATTCTGGTGCTCGTGGTTTGACTTGTGCCAAAACACATTTAACAAAGCAAAAAGAAATAAGGATGTCTTCTACACCTGTCCCCATGCACTTTACAAGAAGAACTGCTGATTCATACATGTCCTGCAGTTGTCGGACACATTCATCAACACTAGGCCTTGTTTATTTGTGTAGTTTCGGTGTGTGAAAAATCTGAGGTTCTGTGGCTCATGTTCATTGTTTGCATCTCACAGTTGCAGAGCAATCTATATGTGCAACACACCATGCGTTCATTATGAAACCGTGCACCAAAGATACTATCAGAATTCATTCATAGCTTGCATACATTGCATTGGAGAAGCGGTGTGCTTTAATGTGTAGACCGTTGGTTTGCTTCCCTACCTCAACCTGATGTCAGGATTTCCTGTCACAGTGTGCAGCGCAAACAAGCCATTTCCCACAAACAGAATGCTATCTCTGCTGTTTGCTTACTCATAATCATAACACTTGTGCTTTTATCACATTGCTGTGCTTTCACAACAGGGATGGATTGGAATGGAGAACGCAACTTACTGAAATGACTCACTGCCAAGCACCTGTAGGTTTTCGGTATGCATTGTTGGCTCCGTTAGAAAATAAACTTTCACATGTGCGCTAGTTTATCTAAGCTGTCCACTCACAATGTCCAACAGTGGATTTTTTTCTGAAACCATCCCAAGTCATTTTTAATGTCACATCGCAATTTATCATTTATTCTGTGATGGAAATGACACACTAAACGGAGGAAAACTGTGTAAAAATGGATTTACACAAAATAAAAAAATATTTATTTTATGTAATTTTTAGAAGAAATAATTATACATATAGATACACACACACACACACACACACACACACACACATATATATATATATATATACTGTATATATGAGTGCTATCAAACGATTAATAGCATCCAAAATAAAAGTTTTTGTTTACATAATATATGTGTGTTCTGTTTATATTTATGTATATATAAAGCATATATTTTGAAAATATTAACATGTATTTACATGTATATATTTATATAAATTCTATCATATATAAATATATTTAATATATAAACGTAACGTTAAATATATACATGCATGTGTGTGTATTTATATATACATTATAAATATACACAGTACACACATTTTAAGTAAACAAAAACGTTTATTTGGGATGCGATTAATCGTGATTATTAGTTTGACAGCACTAAAATATATATATATATATATTATTATATATTATTATTATTATTATTTTTTAATATATACTTTCAAACTGGAAGACTAAAAAAAAACTTTTAACCATGTCCAAAACCATCTGGATTTACACAAATATCAAAATTATTTTAATTATTTAACTACATGATAGTAATTTTAATTATTTAATTTATTAAAAAATATATATTTTAATTTTCACATTCTACTGAAAGTCTGGGGCTGGGACAATGGCAAAGCAGTAAAATGTATACATAAAAAGACATTGAAAATAAAATGGAAATGAATTAAAAAGAAAATAAATGGAGAAAAATAATCATTATAAAACTTATATATATATATATATATATATGTGTGTGTGTGTGTGTGTGTGTGTGTGTGTACGTATGTATATTAAATGGACCTTATTGTCCCTGTAAGTGGACATCATAAAAGTGTTATTGTGTCCAAAAAAGTGCTTCATACTTCTGCTCTAAATCTGAATAAATCAAGAAATTACTCAATAAGCTACAAATGAAAACCAGGTTTCCTGAACCAATCCCACAACAAACAGACTGTGGCTTACTGAAGACTTTGTTCCACGCTCAGAAAAAGAAAGCAGCTCACTCCACAGCTCAAGCGAGCAGTGCAATATCGCCGTGGGAGTACAGCAACCTTCACAACAGCCGTAGAGGGCATGATCAATATTTAATCAGCTACTAAAGAGATACTTCTCTGTGAGTCCTTAAGTCGGTTAACACCTGCATTGATCCACCGCTGGAGGCTTTCCTCCAGCGTCATATTAAACATACTTTAATCTTAAACTGCTTTTGTGCTGGTGGTCTACCAACAGCGTCTATATAATGGATGTTCTGGCAAGCAGAAGCACAGTTCGGTCTTGACTACACTGTAGTTTGCACAGTTGTCAGTGTATGAGATTTCTGTAAAGGGAAATACATAAATCAAAGCATTTCATAGCAAAAAAAAAAAAAAAGGAATCTCATTCTGACGGCACCCATTCACTGCAGAGGATTCATTGGTGAGCAAGTGATGTAATGCTAAAATAATAGATATAATAATAAAAAAGTAATATAGACAATTGTGAATAGAACTGTGCTTTATAAAAGTGCATATACAAAAAATGTACAAAAAAACATTCATTTACATGTTGAAAAAGATTGTTTAAAAATAAAAATAAAAAATAAGTATATACATAGCCTGCCATAACATTTGACAATATACTTGGCAATGCAATATATACAACATGTTGTAATATCTTCAGATATAATATATAAGAAATATAATATTTTTGGATATATAACATCTAAAAGTGTTGGACAACCTGTGCTGTAATAGAAGGCTGTACTCATTTTTCATTCATCTCACATAACCCTACAAAACACATTCAGTGAGTCTATAAATGATATGACAAAATATAAACAGTATGACAGTAGAACACCTTGGAAATAAGGCAGGTAGAGAAATCGTCTAGGTTACTTGTGTAACCCTCGTTCCCTGAAGGAGGGAACGGAGACGTTACGTCAGTCGTGACTGACGAATTGGGATCTCGCCCGAGAGCCCAATCACCTTCGAGTGTTAACTAAACAAGCCAATGACAGTTGGCGTGCGTGTTTCGCCACGCGCAGCCCGCCCCGCAGCGCGGGTATAAAAGGAGAGCGCGTGCAAACGTACATCAGTTTTTCGCTGAGGAGCCGAGACTACGCGCCCCGGGCCGTACAGCGGTGGTACAGCAACTGTGGCGACGGAACGTAACGTCTCCGGCCCTGGCGCTTCACGGGCTTGGCAGGGGCGGAGACGGGCTGCGCCGCTTTCCTGCGGCCAGCTCCACGCTGCGGCTGTTGTGAAGGCTGCCGCTGCGGCCGAGCTGGAGCGGAGGTGGAGGCAGCAGGAGGGCACCCTCGGCGACGAGCAGACAGAGGGGCTGCAGCCGGCAGTGGGGCGGATACAGCAACCGAC